TAAAAATCAAGTATTTTTACATGAAAGATATACATGTGACAATTGGGAATGGACAACAGATAGACTTTTGGCATGATACTTGGTGTGGGGACAAGCCGATGAATGTGCAATCTTGTGATTTGTAATGAAACTAGCAGAATTGTGAAGCAAATGGCTGAATGTGGCTGCAGATTGACTTTTAGGAGGTGGTTGAATAGGGATAAAATGTTTAAAATGAATAGGTTGAATGGAATGTTGAATTATGTGCATCTTAATCAAGTTACTGATGCACCCAAATGGAAAGTGGCATAAGGATGCAAAATTTACTTTCAAATCCCTATACAATCATCTGTCTGATGTAGGCCCAGCTAGATATTTTAAGCATCTTTGGAAAGCTAAACTTCCATTAAAAATTAAAATCTAGTTTTGGCTCATTAGGTATAATGGCATTACTCTAAAAGAAAATATGATTAACCAGAGAACATTCTTCGCATATATATTATTGCTTGGCGACCAAATACGTTTGGAGCATTGTGTGCAAATGTATTGGCAGCAGAGATAGACTTCGATGTTTTTTCAAGTACTTTTGGTGAATTCCAAACATTTGACTAGTAGCCGGAATTTGCAAATTTTGGGGTTGGCTGCAATTTGCCGGGCCATCTGGAACTTGTGCGATAGAGCATGTTTTGATCATAAATTTGGTTAGATCTCTTGTTGATTTCATTTGCTACACATGATCGTTTATGCACTATTGGGTAGGTTTACAAACTGAAGGTGATCGACTGTTGCTGGAGTAAGGCGCTGACGTGATGCAAAGGGAGGCTCTGGTGGTGCATGATGATAGGTGTATAGAAAGAAGGGGACAAATTGTACGGCTCAAGGTAGGAAGATCCGGAGAAGATGATTATGACAGATAGGAATGATGAAACTATATTTAAAAAAAATTGTTGCTGGTAGTGAATTTGGTGATGATGAGGTGATCTAGGGTGTTGGATTCCCTCTTTGCAATATACTAGTGGTTGGGGCCCGTCATTACGGGCCGCTTTTCTCCATCTTAAAGAAGAAACTCACCTTCATCTCAAAATTAAAAAAAATCTCACATCCCGTGGACATCACATCCATCTCGAAAACAAACAAAAAATCCTAGAAAAACTTTTCTTGAAAATAAAAGAAAGTCTCACTTTCATCTTTCAAAAAATATCAAAAACTTTCTCACTGCGGCCAACCAGCATGCGCCACGTGGCATAGCTGGTTATCCGCCAATGCATTTGGCCTTAATGGGTTTATTAATATACTATGTTATTTGTCTCGGTTTGTTGTTAGAAGTTATATACGGCACGCCTTCAGCTCCCTTCAGTGCTTGTAGTCATCGTTAGATGGTCTATGGATCTGAATGTAAAAAAATTTCTAGTATTCGTTGTTCTACCTTAATAGTTGTGAATAGATCGAAAGTTTTGTTATAAAAAAAGATGTGGCAGCGGCCTGCGAGACTTTTGATTCCGCGGGCCTTTTTTCCTATGTTTTGTGTTGTTATAGTTTGATCACGGAACACAATCCTTTTTTAGGATCATATGGGAAAAAAACTTCCCTTGATTAGCGACCAAAGATTGTGGCATAATTCTGCTTCGGGATTTGTATCCAGACGAGATGTGATCATGAGCAATAGAGTTGAGCTCCTTTGATTCTCAAAATGAGAAGTTATAGATGTGGAAGGTGAAAATAAAAATAAATTAAGTTCATGCAATGACACGTCGGTCACGAACCTATTTGTGATTGGATGGTTAGGACTTAGGAGGACACTGGTATCTCGAACCCACGAGGCTTCGACTCGTAACTTGGTATCCGTGCTTGCACTTTCCTGAATTTATTTTAGGCCTTGTGACGATATCCGTTCAGTGGGAGGAGACGTTCCTGTCGACTACAAAGGCGTCCGTAACGACTTCATCAATCTCAAGATGATTTACCGGCTCGGCTTCTTAAATATGTTCATAAGAATAGAATGTGCGTGCATGCATCATAGAGGTGGGTGTATGTGTATTTGTATTGTACTGTGTTAAAAAAAAAAGACACGTGAGCCACATATGGTGTACATTGAAGATGCGTCTGTTGGGAAGCTTCAACAGGAACAGCAGTACACACGAAAACTTTTCGGTGATCTGCTGAAGATGCTCGCCATTGCCAATTTAGTGCGATCCACGTGGAAATCACGTGGGTTGTCACTCTGGTGCCGTGGTGCGTTGACGCCGTCATTATGCCTGTGTTGCATCTCAAATCACCCGCTCCTTTTATTTATTACTGATGATTGAGGGAACGTAACGGTCTGTTTTTTGTTAGTGGTGTGGATGTCTCTGGCCGATGAATTGCTTAAGCCGAGTGCTTCTATTTGTGGACTCACCCGCGTTAAAGAAGGTAGCAAGAATTTTACAAGAGCTTGTTTCCAAATCGCGCACGAAATTGAACAATGGTAAGTTTAACTCTAATTGCGTCCAACCACCCTACAGCTCCAGCTCAACCCCAAACCTACATCTCCTTCAGAGAGTTCTTCCAAAGACATACACGACTATAATCATACATTGGTTGGATGATGATCTCTCCGGCCAACATCAACATGCTCTGCCCAAAATAACTCAACCACTTAGATCATCATGAATCCACAAAACTGCTGCCGGTACTAGTACTAGTTAAGCATTGGAGGTACAGTGAAGTGGTTGATGCCCACATTTACAGCACATATTATTAACACTACTAGAAGAAAATTAATACAGCAAGATTTTACCGGCACACGGGACGGAAATAGATACGATGAAAAAATATGCCAACACCGACAAATTACTTACTCGCGACAAAACATTGAGTCAGATATCATCAATTTATCACGAATGAAGACTGGCACGATCACCGTGATCAACAAAGAGAAGTTGCTTCCTTCCTGTGCCCCGGGCCCGATTCATGGTGCGCGGCGAGAATGTCTCCCGTGGCATTGGCTCCATGACGGACCTCGTCATGAGTGGTGCTTCCATGGTCATGGTTGTTGGAGCAGCAGCGGCAGGCGAGCCTTCATGCGGCCGCCTGGAGCGCTGAGGAACCATGGGGAGGTCCTGCCCCACGAGCTTGGCGATGTCGATGCTTGCCGAACCCGGGGAGAGAGATCGGTGGTAGGCCATGGCCTTCTTCTTCTTGAGAACATTCAAGACCAAGGGGATGAGTCCATCCATTGTAATGCAACTATGCTATGCAAGCCTGCCTGCCAAGGGATTCCTCTTCATAGGCACAACCGCACAAGAAGGTATGCGGCGCATGATGTATCAAAGGTTTTGACTCTTGACCATTCAAAGTTCAAAGAATGCCTCATCTTCAACTGCAAGGAAAACACCGCCAATGGTTTTATATGGTTGCATTTCTCTTATAAATTCCATTTTCCTCTTTTCAACTAAACTGTCCACAACTCCGCACCAGCTCATCTTCTCATGGGCTGTCAATATCTAATCTCATCTGCCATGATAGTGGTGGCATAGAGGGAAGGGCACATACTGCTCAAGGTATCAAAGAATTTATGCAACTCAAGGTTAGTAAAATATCCTTTCTTGCAGGGGGCAGACCCAAGAAAAAAATGAGAGGGTGCAAACATGTATGGACATCAAGGAAAAAAATAGCGCGCTATACAAAATAGCGCTTCCCCTGGAGATATGCTATTAGTGAAACATTGTACACAGATCAATTTAGCGAAACAATTCTCTACACACTATAGCGTGCTATTTTCTTCATTGATGGACATATTCATGAACCAGCAAGGCAAAAACATCACTATAAACCAAAACACGGTTATAATCACTTCGTTCTTCACAAGGTAACCAAGTTCGTTGAGAAGTGCAGGAAAACTAAACATTTGATATAGAATGAATTATGTCAATACGACAATATCTTGTTCCGAAGTTGTGTAAGACAACATTGACACATGGTTCTAACTATCGACCCGCAAGAAAAAAAAATTCAAATTGAGTGAGAAGCAATTCACCAAAGAAGGTCAGTATCAAAACATGAACATGTTTTTAGCACATTACCTTTCGGTTCATCCCACGACACTCACTACTACTCCCTCCGTTCCCAAATATGTCTTTTTAGATATTTCAACAAATGACTACATACGAAGCAAAATGAGTGAATCTACACTCTAAAATATGTCTACATACATCCGTATGTTGTAACCATTTGAAATGTCTAGAAAGACAAATATTTGGGAACGGAGAGAGTAGGTTGCATGAAAATGTTCAACCTCTCCATTTGCATGAAAATGGACTCGGCAAAATAGAAAATAAAAGGTCGGCATGAAAACATTTAACCTCTCCTTTTGCTTCCGTCGCTACTAGAATCCACAGCTTTGCCGGGCACTCGACAAAGGCTGAAAAAAGTCGGCGACGTGTTTGCCGGCAAACATGACTCGGCTGGGCAGCCGGCAACAGAGGTTATTTTACCGAGTTCTTTCTATGGGCACTGCGAAAACACCTAAATAACTATCGAGTGAAAAAAAAATAGTATTCGACAACTGAATGTTGGAAAAAAAAAACTCGACAAAAAAAATTATCCGGGTGGGAAAGAAAGTGCTTGGCAAGGTAATGTTTGCCTAACCAATCAAAATGCACTCGGCAAACAACCTAACACCAGGGAAAGTTTCAGATTCCACTTCCAGTAATGTTAGTAGGTAATTCATCCTCGATCGCTGCCTCCGGTACAATAGAGATCTAGAAATCTAATCCAGTTAGTAAGCTGGTAAGGTACAGCACCTTAAATATTTGGAGCCAAACTTGGTTTACTACAGTAATATTAGTAGTTACAACTCAAAACTAGTCGACACGAGTTCTTTTTCTTCCCGCCAAGTCTCGACACTGCAGTCTAAACTATGTTAGCCTCTACAGGATGTGAGATGCACATCTCTGTCTAAGCAGGCTTTGACGAAACCCACCACATGAAACACAAGGCAAGCCTGTAGCAGATTCGTCCGTCTCTCAACTTCAAAGGCACTGCTACCCTTTTACAATCTCCCGGTAGAACATGTTGATGAAATCATCATTCTGCACAGACACAAAAAAGGCGTGAGCAGATACTCCATAGTCAGCATGAGTGTCAGGAGGCTATGAATTTGTTGTAGCGACAGAATAGAATTATGCGAACCCAGCAACAAATTGAATCAACCTTATTATTTACTACTCCCTCCGTTCCATAAGAAATGTCGTGGTTTTAGTTTGTCTTCAGTTTGGTTGTCATGTACTCCATCCGTTACATAGTAAGTGTCGTGGTTTTAGTTCAAACTTGAATAAAACCACGACACTTATTATGGAACGGAGGGAGCACATGACAACCAACAGAAAGAAAAATTACCTGCACAAGCCTCAGCAATGCACCTCTCAGGTTGTCTCTTGATAGTATCACTGGGCCATACGATGCTGTTGGGGCAAGCAGTGGAGGAGGAGGATTAGGTGGTGGAAATGGCTGAAGCAACAGCGCACCGTATGGTGGAGGGAGGCATTCAGTGGGCCGTGCAAAGTGCTCGAGCGAAGGAGACCTTTGCCAGTGCTGAGGACGAGGTGGAGGGGGAGCAGAGGATAGTTGAAAGGGCTTGAGCAAGACAGCACTTTGCCTCTGCTGAGGATCAAGTGCAGGAGGAGCAGTGGATTGTGTAAAGGGCTGGGCCAAGGGAGCACTTTCCCTGCGCTGAGGATCAGGTGGAGGAGGAGCAGTGGATTGTGCGAAGGGCTGGGACAAGGGAGCACTTTGCCTGTGCGGAGGATCAATTGGAGGAGGAGCAGAGGGTAGTGGGAATGGCTGGAAATAGGGAGCACTCTGCCGGTGCTGAATGGAAAGGGGGGGAAGAAATGGGGGTGGAGCTGAAGATGGAAAAGCAGCATGAGCTGTTGCTGCTTGCGAAGATGTGGTAACAATGGGGGGAAAGAATGGTGGTTTTGAAAGACTAGCAGGCTGAATGGTAGGAGCGCTGGTGGGTACATGAGCATCTTGGGGAACCACGGTAGCTGCTGACGCTCGTGGAGCAGGAAGCAGATTATGTGAGGCAGGAGGCTGTGATGAAACAGCACTAGGCGCTGGCGATGCACGCCTAGATGAAGGAACCGCCCTGATAGGTTGATTTGGCTGTACTGGACCTGCTCCACCAGTGGGTGCTCCAACACATGCAGCTGCCTGGCCGAAGAGATTAAAAATGGTTAGTCTCGTATAATTACATAATGATGCTGGATTGCAGAGCAACCACCGGAATAAACACAGATGTCCAGTGTTTCCAAACAGAATGACACGATATGGGAGGACGAACGAGTTTGCTTACTGTTAACAAAGCTGACAATAACTTGAATTCAACATCGCCAGGTACCAATGTAGATGGTGTTGTTGGCTGCTCTAGGGTATCTTCAGATGAGGGAACATCAGATGCTACTTCCAGCTCTTCACAATCACTGAAACTGGGCACAGTAAGATGATTTAAGTTGTGCTGTTCTGTACTCATGAGCCAAAGGGACCAGCTCAGCTAGACAATACGGTAAACTTGCATTATTACCCCTCTGGTTTCCTGCAGTTCTTTCATGTGACAGAGTTTTCATCATTCAGTTATTTAAACGAACTAATATTTATCCATAAGGAGAGCTCTAATTTCTTCTTCTGCAATATTTTTAACCCGGCGTTCTATAAAGGCCCTCGTATTAAAATTAAAATATTAGCCAAAGATCAGTTTTGTGTTTCTCCCCTTGCCACTCTTGTATCATAACGCCAACTCCTCAAAGTATTATGTTTGATCGTTAAGTTTGTACGAGGAAACGACTAAAACAGGTAGTGATACAACTTTGATCACGGCTAAAACAAGTGTAAAACATCTAAACAACTTAGAAACGATTAGCAGAGAGCAAATGGAATAGCTAGAGGCTATCTTCTATGCAAAGGTAAATAAGAAGCATGAAGATTCCGAATACCTTTTAACTGAAGGAACCAGTTTCTCTGGGGATGCCCTGGAATATGCTTTACGTATCCTGTACATTTCGTAGGCAATGTATAGTTCAGCGAGTACATGGCAAAAGATATAACTACTTGAAGAAAATGTCTAGCCATCTCTTGTAGTGGACAGAATCAAGCAAGCAAGCAAATGAAAGCATGGACAAAGGTTGAGCATCTGGTTAAACATACAGACAGATAGGTCGTGGATACAGGCTAAACAAACACTTAACCTCTGAAACTATAATTAACTAATGGAATGGCGTTAGTAAGCATCTGGTTAGTTTATGTGGCTCTGCATATTCAGTATTCCGCAGACTGCATTTCAATACCACACCTATGCTGAACTTCTTTTCAAAAATGTCTACAGGTGGCGACTGCCCACCTGAACGATTTCCATTAAATTGCTTACGCGATCAATAGTTTCTTTACAGGGAGTTCTACACAGAGAGGGGTGATCCTGTGGGAAAAACACACGAAGGACATAAGCTACAGCAACTCGGAGAAGTTTTTGACCCAGGCCTGGAGGATCGTTTTAGAAATGAATAAGGAGCAGCGCCACCTCCCGTTATTGATCAGGTTCGTTAGCGTGTGCTTACAGAGAACTGGAGAAGTTGACAGGTACTAGTCATTAATCTCAGCATATTATCTAACTTCTAAGACACTGAATCAACCAGTATACAAAATTCAAAAACAGCTACACTAGCAAAAACATACTTAAGGACCTAAAACTAGAGCAGATCAAATGAATGACCAAGCAGGATAGCATAACAAGTCAGTAAGACACAGCCTTTCTGGATACTAGGTATTGGATGGGAAGAAAGAAGATTTGTGATTGTCGGCACTGTTTCCTACCAATTGCCCGATTTGCACGACCAATGAGGCAAGGGAAGATGGTTAGCACAGACCAGGTCCTACAGCCTATATATTGGGTTGAAAGCCTTGATAAGTTTTAGTGGGCTTTGCAGTGAATACGCATAGTTCCAAGTATCAGTATATATCAAATGTTATGTACTCCCTCCGTTCCTAAATACTTGTCTTTCTAGGCATTTCAAATGACTACTACATACGGAGCAAAATGAGTGAATCTACACTCTAAAATATGTCTACATACATCCGTATGTAGTAGCACATAATACAGTAGTTTAGTAACTTATTGTTGACAAATGAAAGCATACCAAACAGGCAAACAGATAGACCAACGCGATCAAATTTCATGTTTAAGTTTAAAATGCCACTCCTAGCAGAAAGATATCTGGTGCTATGATCTGCAGTCTACAGGCCAAAATATATCAATACATTCTCATGGATGATATTTAATGCAATAAGAAAAAGAAATTACCTACTGAAAAGATGTGCTACTTCTTCACATTCCTCAGGCTCATAGAACCATATTCCAATAATTTCGGCTGCAGCATTGGTGTATATTATGTAAGGAACTTCCACCTTGTAATCAAAACCGCCCAGGAGGTCCTCGACCAGATTTTCTGCTTACAAGAGGAAGGCAACACAATATTAGCATATACTCCCTCCGTCCCAAAATAAGTGTCTGTCTTTGATTTAGTACAAAGTTGTACTAAATCAAAGACACTTATTTTGGGATGGAGGGAGTACATGTCATGCAAGCTAATTATTCAAGACAGCATTTTATACCAACCAGCTACACGATTCCTTACATACCAAACACACGATTCAGTAAGGTTTTCAAGTGAGCTACATTTTGTTGTGGAAGTTCCTGTACAACCTCATATATAAACCGAACAGGAACCAGCATACAACAATATATACCCCTAGGATGCTGAAGAGTTATTTTCTTAATGGAGGATGCATAAGAGAGAATGTTTCCTGATATGAAGACTGAGGGATGCATTAATTTATCCCAAAAGGCTACAAGCAATCAGTAATGTGTCCCATTTTATCTCATAGTAGTATACAACAATTCAAAGAAAAACCACTCCCCCTATGTACGATTTGTCTCCAAATGTTTAATAGATAGGCATGATTTATTGCCGTAAGGAATCTAGAACCGCAAAAAATACCTGTATTTCGACGATTCATGATGAGAAACTGGAATCTGGGTTGGGTGTTCCTGCAAGAATGTAAAGTTTTATTACGAGATGCACACTCTAAAGCACTTTATAGGTCCAACAAATTTGCATCTCAGAAGAATACAAGAGGACATCTGGTCATAAGTCCAACAAATAGCTGTAGATGCCGAAAATCTCAAAGGTAATGTTTACCAGTAGGCATTGTACTGTTTCAGGAGCATACATCGCCGAATTTACATGTAAACTATTGTAAGATCAGCAACAAACAGTTCAATGCAGGTGTCCAGAGATCGTATACAAAATACTAGCAGGGTCCAAAAACCCCCAATAGCCGATAGCTTGTGACAGACAGGAACTACACACAAATATCAATAAACAGTACTGAAAGTTCCACACCAGCATTTGTTTATCAAAAATATATACCAGCACTGTAAATACTTCAGGCAGTGCAGGCAAAATAAGAAATAGAAAATATTTCCCTAGCAACAAAATCCTAATAAATTTTCACCGTACAGGGGATTTTTGAACAACAATGCAACTAAGTAATACACAGTGCAAAGACCGAATCACAACAACTCCATCTGATCCCCATTTCTTGTAGAAAGCCGCTTCAATGCTTTAAACTAAAAATTCACAACATCCGCATCCAAGTAAACACCCAAGTAGCCGGGAATTACACAAGCATCCAGCAAACATCGCAAAATTGTAACACCTAGCGGTGCTTTCCCTAGCAACCAAGTCGTCTGCAATCTTCACTATGTAAGGAATTGCAGAACCACGACACGGTCCAAGTACAAAATCATAATGCCATTCCATTGCCAAGGCGATTTCAGTTCTCTTCCAAAAATTCTTAACATCCCCAACAACAGCAAGCAACCAATGCTACATTAATCGGCCGAAGCCAATGTCGCAATCTACGGCGCATCAGTTATAGGGTCGGGGCACGAACCTCTTGACGACGAAGAGCGACCCCTCCACGCCCTTGTGGCTCTGCACAAAAACACGCGTACACGGAGATCGAGTCAGGAACCGCGAAGCAGGGCGTCGAGAAGGGGGGAGGGTTCGGCGGAGGGTGCGGGGGGTTCAGTACAGTACCCATCGGACCGTGTCCTGGTCGAAGCTGTAGGCGGTGACGCTGGCGGCGGTGATGAGGATGTCAACGATGGCGGGGTCGAGGCGCCGCAGCACGGTGAGGTTGAGCATCCGCGTGCCCTCCCGGTCCGCCCCCAGGTTCGGCGTCACCTTGCTCCGCCTCCCGCCGCCGCCGCCGCCGCGCCGCGCCATGAGGAAACCCTAGCTGGCGGCCGGAGCGGCTTGGGTCTGGGGTTTTGGACGGCCGGGGCGGGTGATCGCTGACGAGGGCAGTGGGGCGAGAGAGCCCTCTCGCTTTTGCCGCGCACGCCGTGGCACCGCCGCCGTGTGCGTGACAGATGCCTGCGCCACGCGGGGCCACTTGTCAGTCACCGGATGGAGTGGCTCCGGGGTTCATCCACTCGGCTAACCTTGCCTGCGTCCCAGCCCAGTGAGGAGCTTCTGGTCCAAGACGGGCCTATTACTGCTTTTCAAGTAGCCTAACAGAAACCGCGAGAGCTATATCTCGCCCGTGCCGATTCCTATTAGGTATCGCCTACAGTCCGGCGACTGTCGGTCCGGTAAAACACTGTAGCATTTGCTAGTTTTCCTTCTGTTGTTTTTGTTTTCCCAATGTTTGTACTACGGTATTCTTCGGGTTCTTTTTTTTTCAATGCATGTCTACATTATCCATAAGCGTTGTAAATTTTTCCTATTTAGCAGGAACATTTTTGGTGTACTCATTTAACATTTATCAACTACATGATTAGCATATTTGAAAAATATATGTTTCATGTCTATATTTTTTTATACACACTCTACTTTTTTGTATACGTCTAGAACATTTTTATCTACATTAATATTTATAAATACATGATTTCACATTTTATTTTAATACTTGTTCAGAAAAGGAATATGTGTTAAACGAATTCAAATACATGTTGAAACATTTTTGTATGATACGAAACATTTTTTGGACTATGCTATCATTTTTTTACATTGGATAAACATTTTTTTTTCAAGTCACACACATTCTGTTTGAAATGCGTGCACATTTTTGTGCAAATCATTTTATTGTCATCAACCGCCAAAAGCGGGGATTGAAAGAGCATTTACCACTTAAGTGTTTTGATGTTGATGACGATACAATTTGCGAACTAGCCATGTGCCTAAACTACATAAGTATACTCTTTATGACACAAGACGGTTGGGCACCCCTCCGGATGGAAAAGAGCGAAGACGGCATTTCCGACGCGTTTTATTTCTTTAGTCATAATAAATCCGTACTATTAAGAGGGGCCCGCATTGGAAGGTACGGGTGAATCAAACACGTACATAACTAAATATTGCACACACATATAGCCTTCCATTTCGAGGAGAGAGTCTCTTATCCAATCTATGTAGAAAAACTACCCCCAGGGTGGTTGTACCGTAGGTAGCCCCGACTAAACCGCTCTATTGTGGAGTGGTCACTATGGTTGTTGCCCTGTTGGTTGTACCAGGCGCAAGGGCTGTTATTGGCCTGTCCGTGGGGCGGTTCAACTGGGTCGTGCGCCGGTCCAACCACTGCGAAAGGGTCATTTCCTTTCGGAATTGGGCTGGCATGTCTAGCGGTGGCTATTCGGTAATTCTGATAGTTGCATAACTACCGGTACAACCGGGGTCCCAAGCAGTTATCCCACTAGGGACTTAACAACTACTAGATGTCATTCTCGGCAGTTCTATCAGTGCAGGTACCGCCCCAACCACCACGAGTAGGATGATTCCACTCAGGTTTGGGGTGCGGTGCCAAGCAATGACCGACCAATTGTTTCGATTTATATTTACAAATTGGTACAGCCGGGACACGTAGTTCTACTGTTGCCCCAACGGTTGTACCGCCCTTGTGTGGGCTTGCACATAACGATGGGATTTGGGTCAACCCTATAAAAGGGAGATGGTTCTTCCACCTCCCACTCATCTCTTGCCCCTTTCTCTCTCCATTGATGCCTAAGCTATTTCTTGTCCTATCTCCTTTTCTAATCAACCAAACTTGCTGATTTGCTAGGAATTGAGGGAGAAGACCTAGATCTACACTTCCATCAAAGGAAATTTGATTCTCCCATACTTTCACTTATGAATCTTGTTACTCTGGGATGTTTGGGCACCCTAGATGGAAGAGGTCACCTCAAAGCCACATTTCATCGTGGTGAAGCTTCGTGGTTGTGCTGGAAGCCTCCAATTAAGTTGTGTAAAGAGCCCCAACCTTGTTTGTAAAGGTTCTAGTTGCCGCCTTCAAGGGCACCGCTAGTGGATTCATGGCACCTTGCATTGTGCAAGGGATGAGGAGAATAAGGTGGACTTAGGGACGCCTAGGGAGCATTGTGCGTCCACACCTCTCCAACGGAGACATACCTCCCCCAAAGGAGGGAACTCCGGGAACACACATGCATCCTCGTCTCCATTGATTCCACGTGCGGTTATTTCTTTTCTTTACTTTGTGCAAGCTTTTTTTGTGAGTTTATTGTGCTTGCACTTGTTCTTGTGTTGCTTGTCATATAGGTTGCCCACCTAGTTGCATATTCAGACAACTTGTTGAACCTAAATTTTTCTAAAGAGGTAAAAATGTTAGTCGCCTATTCACCCCCTCTAATTGACAATACCGATCCTTTCACCCAACGAGCTTGAAACATTATGAATGCCCTCTCCACATCCTTCCTAGCTGCTTCCTTCATCGTTGCAAAGTGGATTTGTTTATTGCCTTGTGGTTCGGATATGGTTTTCACAAACGTTGCCCACTAAGGATAGATGCCACCTGCAAGATAGTATTCCATGTTGTAATCGCGCCTGTTGACATTGTAGTTGTTGGTAAACGTACTAGAAAACAAAAACAAAATCGCGCCTACGCACACCCAAGATCAATATGAAGATGCATAACGGGTCGGGATCAAGATCGTCATCGTCACAGAGTTGCAGCAGAAGAAGAACGTGTCGGTGTAGATTGTACTTGGAGTCCCTTGAACCGTCGATGAACGATCCTGCGAACCGCCCACGAACAGTCCCTCGAACTGAAGACCGAAAGCACGACCCCTCTGCTTGGTTGCAAGCGTGTAACCTTCACGATCCGGCAGCGGTTTGGCATCCAGAGCTAATCATCGCCGGAGAATCAGAGGGAGGAGATTAGAATCACATTGGGCTTCTAATTATGAGGATGGGAGGATTAGTCTAGCTCTAATTACTCAACTGGGACCAACTAGAACTAGAGGAGACTCCAAAACTTGTGTGTTCAAAAGAGCTCAATACCTTATGTATATATAGATTGGAGGGGAGACGAGCAGCCAAGAGGAGGAGAAGGACTCCCCTCCCCTTGCACCGGCCAAGGAGAGAAGGGGAGTCACGAGCACAGGGGGCGTGCCCGGTGAGCTTGTGACTCTCCAGTGGGTCTTCTGGCCTCCCTTCTGGTCTTCGAGGGTCCCTTATGGTCCAGAAAAAAATCACCATAAAGTTTCATCGTATTTGGACTCCGCTTGGTATTGATTTTCTGAAAAGCCAAACACAAGCAAAAATAGGAACTGGCACTGAGCACTGAGTTAATAAGTTAGTCCCAAAAATGATATAAGTAAAGCATATAAAGCATCCGAGATTGATAATATAAAAGCATGAAACAATAAAAATTATAAATATGTTAAAGACGTATCAGTGTCGAGACAATAAATTTGGGTGAAATACTACCCTCGAAGACTGTTGCGATCCCCTATACTTGTTGTGTTGAACCAATACATTTTATTAAGCTCCATTAGTCCATACGCCTCATACGACGAAGCATCGGAAGGTGGCGCCCGGGTCGGCGACAACTTCCGCGCTGACGACGCGAAGGCTCCAACCGGTGGAGGAGGAGCGAATGGCGGCAGAGCTACGAGAAGGTTGGCACGAAGGAGAAATAAAAGAGGAGAAAGAGCAAATGA